CTCCACCAGAGACCCATGTGTTTTGTAGTTAAAGAACACCAGGCTTCTCCTTGAACTCTTTCTTTGGGAGGCCAGAATTTCAACTACATCACTGAGCTTTGGAAAACACAACACTGGCCCTCAGATCAAACCTGAAGTTGTTCTATATACTGGGGTGTTTGGGGGCAGCACAGAGGGCAAGGGGCATTCAGGCCCTTGGAAGCCCAGCTAAAATCCTTTAGACCCAGATGCCCTCCTGGGTCACCCCAGCGAGCGGCAAGCTGTGTCCCCGGGAACTCCTGTAAGGTGCAATGTTCTGCCCGCTTGGTCTGGTCCTATATATTGACAGTCATCTTTGTGTATATTTTATACATACAACTGTCTTTCCAGTTTGATCATAAATTCTTCAAGGGCAGATGGCATAGGTCTTTTATCTCTTTTTATAACCCACGGTGTCTAACACGGTGCCTTCATATAAAAGTGCTCCATTCCTATGTAGCTTCATTAGCAACAGTTATGAGTGATTCTCTCAGGATATGAACTAACTCTATAGACATGCTTTAAGAGTACCAAGTACAAGAAAAGGCCAGTATTTGCCCTTTCAACTTAGGAAGCTGAATTTTTAAAATCATTTACTTAATTTTGAAGTTGAGGATTGCAAGGGGGTTCCCAAGTCAGGAATTTATATCATTTGCAAAAGCAAAGAGTATGTTAGTTGCCTTAAAAAACCCCAAACGGTGAGCTAACCTCAATATTTGACATTAATCAAAGCCTTACCAAAAAAGCAGATCTGTTTCTAACCTTCTAAAAGAAAGAGACTGTGGTCTTGTATGTGGTTTTTTGTTTTGTTTTGTTTTTTTCATTTGAGGATTTAAAAAATGCGGGATAAATGAATGATTAATTAGAATCTTAGAGTAACAGACCACACAACTCCAGGAAGATTCTCATTTAAAAAAATTATTTCTTTTCAGTAATTTCTCATCATGTTGTGCATATCTTCCTTGTTCACCTTTTAACATTAAAAATCATTTTATGCTGAACTAAATATCATTTTTATTGCATTAGGAGAAACCCATGCTTTCCAATGTTGGAACAGCTGTAATAATTCAGAGTAAAAAATCTCTGAGTACGTTTTACAAACATCATTCTAAATATTGCCTAATACACTGCTAATTTTGGCTAGATTTTAAATAAAATAGGCTTCAATGAAATGATATGAAAAGCATGTTCCAATGGATTAGACACAATCTCAAGGATTAACTCTTTTAATGCTGTTTCATTACAAAATCATGGAAGAGTATTGTAGAAATTGGTATCATGATTATTTTAACTTTGGCCTTATCAGCTGTAAGAAATGTTTTACTCCGTTGTCACCTATGGCTCTCCAAACACAGCGTCACAAGTTTCATTATTTCCATTTCCCACAGGAGGCAAATTAAGACTGGAGATTTAAAGTGCCCACCTGGGACTTCCCTGGTGGCGCAGTGGTTAAGAATCCGCCTGCCAATGCAGGGGACACGGGTTTGAGCCCTGGTCCGGAAGGTCTCACGTGCCGCGGAGCAAGTAAGCCCGTGCGCCACAACTCCTGAGTCTGCACGCCACAACTATTGAGCCCGCACGCCTAGAGCCCGTGCTTTGCAACAAGAGAAGCCACCGCAATGAGAAGCCTACGCACCGAAACCAAGAGTAGCCTCTGCTCACCACAACTAGAGAGAGCCCGTGCGCAGCAACGACGACCCAACGCAGCCAAAAATAAATAAATAAAATTTATAAATAAAAAAAAATAAAGTGCCTGCCTGAACACACACAACAAATCCCTGAGGCCCAGGTGCCTCTTCCTTCTCACCTTATCACAGCCTCACTGCTTCTCTTCTTCCCCTTTCAAGACCAACTGTTCAGGTAAGCTTTGATTGTTTGCATCTGTCTTTTTAGAATTAATGACGGAATAGTGACAGAAAGGGAGGTGCTAGAGTTACTGACAAGTTTATTATTGTTCTTACTCATGAAAGCTTGGAAGGTCCCCCAAACCCCATATCATCCCCAAGGCCTGTGGCTGGCTTGCCACTTCCCGGAGCCCATTATTTAGAACTGTCTGTGTTGTCCTATCAAACAACGATGCCTCCTTACCTTCTGTGTTTGCTCACCTAGTCACCATCTTTCCCTGGGAGATGGAAGTGTATATCCAAGCAAGAGAAATTGTCAACGGCTATTTCTTCCCCTTCTCTCTCTCTTGGTTGAATATTGCTTTGGCACCTTGTATATACCCATTTAAATTCATTATGAAATATATGCCTTGCAAGACAGTTCTTTGCCTTTTGCAGGAGACTTTCTTTTTTAGGAAAAAATCATCGTGAAATTAACATGGTGATTAGGAAGCAAGTTAGGCATGCAGTACCTTGTACAAACTCAGCTGCATTTAGTGAAAGGAAGACTTGAAATTCATTTCCGAAATGCTGTGAAAAGCTCATTTGGGCCATTACCACTTGCCCTCTGCCCTCTTCACAAGTTATAAGCCACCTTGTGTATGTGCCTTGCAGAATGTTTGGGAACCACCGTGGTGATTCTGCAAACGAATACCTAATTGAAATGCTTACGAACCTTAATCTTTCTCAGAGAATCCACTACTTACAGTAGGTGTCAGGGTTCTACTGAGGTCCTAAACCAACCCCAATAAGGAGGATTCTTTACAAAACTCGACTGAAAGGCACTTCCTTTTACTACAGTGTTTGTATTGAGGTAGGGGTGGGAGTGAGGAGAGGTTACATCAGGGGTGAAGACACTTAGTTGTAAAGTTACGATGAAAGTTGCATGATTGTCTTTTGGCAGAGCAGGATGCCCCAGTGTTGAAATGAAATTCCCATAGAAAGATATCCACAGATCAGAATCCCACAGCCTGGCACAATTCAAGTTTGATTCAGTGAATGTTTCTGGAATTCCCAAAGTCAGAGCTGCTTAATTTGGGATCTGGGACCACCAACACCATACAGGGTGTTTCTTAAAAATACAAGCTCCTGAGACCTTCTCCAGACCTACTGAAACATAATTTCCCTGGGTGAGATTGGACTTCTACTCCTGGGTGATTCTTAAGCACACTAAAGTTTAAAAGCACCAGAGTCTGTTTTACTCACTGATGTATCCAAGTACCTAGAATGGCAATTGACAGAGCTCAATAAATACCTGCTGAATGAATGAAGGTCCTAAGTGTTTGTGGCACTCGGAGGCTCCAGTTATACATATCTTCCAGACTAATTCAAAATGCTGTCATAGGACAAGTATAATGTTATATCCCACAGGGGCGGGGGAAGCTCTCCTATCTCTGCCCAACAGTCTAAGCAAATTGTCCCCACTTTGACAGGACTTTCCCTGCCTATACTTCACTGCAAAAGCCGTGACAAAGACTGGCCTCACAGCTTTGCTTCCTTAAAAAATAAAAATGAAAAAAAAATAAAGGATTAATAAAACCAACTAAGGTATAAGTAGGTACCCTAAATCCAGCATATTGAGTAAATTGTCTCTGCTAAACCACCCATAACTGAAGCTAGGCAAAATTCTATAAGCCAGTTTTATTTGTAGTCAAAATAGCTAAGGGATCAAGTTTCCTTCCTAATCATTCAAACCACAGGAAAGAGAAGGCAAGAGAAATGCAATCTTGCTCTTGTATATACACTGTTCTAATAAGACTATATTAATGATTTATTAAGAACCGACTGTATCCTTAACAGGTGAATGAATAAAGAAACTGGTACATCCACACAATGGAATACTACTCAGCAATAAAAAGGAAAAACTTCATACACACAATGTGAATCTCAAATGCATTACGCAAGAAGCCAATCTCCAAGGATTATATATGGTATAATTCTCTTCAAATGACATTCAGGAAAAGGCAAAACTACAGGCAGGTGGAATGGGTCAGTGGTTGCCTGATTAGTGCTAGGAGTGGGGGGCAAGTTTAACTACAAAGGGGTAGCCCAAGGGAATTTTTGGGGGGTGATGGAAGGATTCTACATCCTGATCGAGGTGATTGTTACGTGAATCTATGCATGTGTTAAAACTCGTAAAACTGCACACCAAGAAAAATGTGAATTTACTGTATGCAAATTATATTTTAAAAGAACCCATTGCACACACAACATGAACTCATTAGGTCTCTGAGGGCCCTCAGACACTTTCCTTCCCTTGCTCAGTTTATTAATGTTGGCAACACACAAACAAGTGGTCTTGGAGTGTGTGCGTGAAAGTGAGGGAGGATTGCTCTACCATACGGTCCATGCTAAGTACATTACACCCCGTGCCAAATTTAGCACCTTATAAACTGGAAACCCTTTTGTAGAAAATTCCTTTATTATAGTGCAAATAACTTTCAGCAGTGACATAATAATGTAAGAACACATTTAGCAACATTTTACACCACGCAGTAAATAAGAAAGTGTTTCTTCGAAAATATGTCATCATAGGAACATTATTTCTACATTAATAACGTAGCTGGAAAATGCCAAGGCTGTTTCTCTCAAGGCAACAGGGCTCCCTCCCTCTTTTTGGATATTTGCTTTTTAATACAAATGAAAGGACTTGCCATTTTAACAAATCACCAATAATTCTAAGAGTCATCTCTTAGGAGGTTTTGAACTGAGGTTGGCAAGATATGAAATGGGGTTTCAAATTAAAAAAAAAAAATTAAGACAATTCTGGGATAGCCCAGAAAGTAGAAGTCACTTCTATTAACTTTTAAGTAGATATATACATTCACTCCAATTTTGATGCAGAAATGAACAGATTGTCTAAAGCCTGCCTATTATTCCCCCAGAGCCTGATTGTTATCTATGTTCCTTGGTTTTGGTCATATTGCAAAATTAGGGCTCTGGTCAGAAATAACACCTTACATACCGAAATGCTTTCCTGTGAAGCTTAAAATTGCACTTTCCATCCTGAACTCCCACCTTAGACCTCGCATGCTGATGAGAGGATGTGAACATTGTTTCCAGTTTACAGCTAATGATTAGTACAGCTGGATTAGCCCCTTGCTAATTTAACTACACCTGAATCAAATCATCGCATCATTTAGATTAATTCCAGTAGGCTTAACCAAGAGGTTCCCCATACAGAAATGAAGGGTTAACAGTGAATCTTTACACTAGGCTGCCTAAGGGCTTGGCTGCTAACCAGTTAGCTGATAGGTAGACAGAACAGTGTCAGTTCCAAACAGTTACACTCCCAACTCCTCTAGTTTCTGCTGAATTATGCAGTGGGTGGGAATGGATGGCCACTCAAAGGAAACCTCCTGTGGGGGTCTTCCACCATAAGGAGAATCAAAACCCCTACCAATATATTTCAGGGTGCCCTCTAAGTCTCTCTACAAACACACATCAAAACCTAGTGGCTCTACAAGTTAATCACAGGCTCAAAAATAGCCGGAGCCACAGAACAGCCCTCCTGGCTGAATATGGCTGCTTAACTCAGCTGGTACATATAGCTTTTCAATACTCAGCCAGCCTTGTTGGATAAAGCATCTTCTTATATAACACAGTGGAACTGTGCTGAACAGTTTAAAAGTTGAGAAGAATCCAAATATATCACCTATAAAAAATTCATGATTTCAGTTTGCTTTTTCTTAGACTTTGGTACTGAAACACTGTCTACATTCTCGACACATGAATATGACATGGTCACTTCAGTGCCTCTGCATGTTGTGTAAAGAAACTCAAAAGCAAAGCAGGAGAAGGACGTGTCATAACAAGACGCAGTATGCTCTACAGACAAAACCTAAATTATATATAAATACACACCCCACCCCAGCACCCCCTCTTCTCCCCACCAGCTGACCAAAGCAATGCCAAGGGTCCTTCTCTCCAGGGCCAGTAGAGTTTGTGAAATCCAGCACCCAGGACTCCAACTATCCCTTGCTGTGTGGTGACATCTGTATCACTGCAGGCTTCTCCTAGAGACTCCCTGCTGTCTAACCAGTTCCACAAGTACAGGGAAACACCTAAAGCTTAATTGGGAGCATTCACACTATTGGCTGGACTCAAAGACCTAGAGTCCTGGGAATTAATTTTTCAGATAAACTAACTGGATCATTTCCTAATTTGGATTCTGTCTTATCCTAATATCTCAGCAGAGCCAACACAGTAGGAAGCACCCTCTACTCCGAAGCTCCAAAGGCATTGCTTAGGGATATCAGTGAGGGTCACATAATAAAAGTGATACAATGAGCTAACAGCTTAAGTTGATATAAATTATTTCCGGGTAAGTTATTTGGGGCCATTTGCTTCTGCTTTCCATTGCATTCCAGAATCATTTTCATACTGTACTTTCAAAAGTTTATATAATAGTCATTTAAAAATTGTCTATGCAATCACTTCTTACGTGTTTTCAATTAGCTTAATAACAACTTAATGAGCTATTATGTAGGTCTAGGGAAAAGCAGTTAGTCTTAAGGAAGCCAATACCGTGCTAATTCACAGTAAGGAGAAAAAGCAATGTAAATAATCATCAATAACTTGAAAAGCAGTCTTATGAAACGTTGCAAAGCCTTCCCAAAAGCACTTACAGCAATTTATATCAAGATATCCTAAGTTTAGGGGTATGGAGGATAAGACTCAACTCTTTAAGGTAGAAATTCACCTTTATCATGATGGAATAGGTAATTTTCCCCCCAGACCTAAGATAATTGTACATTCAAAAGTTCATAACTTGCTGTTCTTGAGACATTAATCATTCTCTCATACACTGAGTAGAAATAAATAACTACAAGAAAGCTTTAAAAATCTGAATTAACATTATGCTGTGCAACAAAACAAAACAAACCTTGAACAACCTACATTCTATGTTAAATACCCTGACTAAAATGTCGGTTGTGCTACACACTTCAGTGCAGAAATGAGTTGACTTCTGTGTACCGTCTTTGTTGTTGTTGTTTTAAGTCTTTAGCACTTTTGTTCTAAACATCAGCTTTGAAACGATGAATAACTTACTACCAAATCACAAATCCAGTTCAGTTTAGTCTGAATAAAATCCAGCGTAAGCGTATTACTTTGTTCTGGAAATAATGGCTCGGTGTCTTTGTTCCGACAGCTTCCTAAGGGCAAACCACCATTGAAGTCATTTTGGGTTTAAACCGCACAGAAAGAAGAGACGGTGAAGTTTCCCTTTTCGTTTTTGTTTTCTTTTTAAGTCTTCAGATCTTGCTAGGACACTTCTTCCAGACCAGCAGTCATATAGTTGTGGCACCTGATGCTATCTGAAACAGACGTGGTTTAAACAACGTCAGCCAAGCTTAGTGATCTGGAGGTCCCCGTTTATCTTTATGGTGTCGATTGCAGATAACGTTTGAATGCGGTGGTAAAAATCAAAAAGTTGGTGTCCATCCACAAACACTCTGAAACGTGGGTGCTCACAAAGGATTTCCACCTGGAAGAAACAAAAAAATAACCTCAGTTCATAACTTCAATGAACCCTGCTGGGGAAAACGAACAAACAGTACTTCATTTTGGAGAAAGGCAACATCCTCAGTGGTTCTCAAACACGGGAGTGCACTGGGATCATACAGAAGGCATGTTAGAACACAGACTGCTGGACGCCACCCACCAAAATTTCCACTTAGTAGGGCTAGGGTAAGGTCTAAGAATGTGCTTTTCCATCAAGTTCCAAGATGATGCTGGTGTTGCTAGAATAAGGAACACACTTTGTGAAGCACTGCTCTACACTATTCAATGTCCTTTAAAGATTTAAAATTGCTTTAGTTTCTCCCTTCTCCTTGCATGCCAGAAAGTGATGGAAAGTGGCAGAGATTTATTTATACGGCACTTAATGCCTCCATCCTCATCCCCTGGACAATTCTATCCCACCTTCAGAGAGGCCCCTCGCAAAGCAGAACTGGTACCCATTAGTAGCATGTAATAATAGTCTAGACACCCCTAAACACTAAGCAGAGAGAAGGTTACACAGTAATTACCATTGGACCAAGGATGTGTAATTAACAAGGCTTTGTTAAGCCAAACAGAAATACTGATTCCATATGGTAAAAGCTTTTTCTTCCTCTTTTTTTGAAACTTAAGTAATTCACCATAGAGTTTAATCATTGGTTCTGTGCTATGTATTTATTAAAAGCATTTGTATTCATCATGCAAGGAGAGACTCCGTATGTGATATCAGTCACATTTAATTCGTATTACTAAAATTATATCACCAAGAAGGGGTGATTTCATTTCAGTTTTGTTCTTGGGGAGCACTATTCCTCCTGGCAGAAGCTTTGGTTACTCACACTCACGAGCTCTGCATTAAGATTCACCAGTAAGGGGCTTCCCTGGTGGCACAGTGGTTGAAAGTCCGCCTGCCAATGCAGGAGACACGGGTTCGTGCCCTGGTCCGGGAAGATCCCACATGCCACGGAGCGGCTGGGCCCGTGAGCCATGGCCGCTGAGCCTGCGCGTCCGGAGCCTGTGCTCCGCAACGGGAGAGATCACAGCAGTGGGAGGCCCGTGTACCACAAAAAAAAAAAAAAAAAAAAAAAAGATTCACCAGTAAGAAACTGACACAGTTCAGGGGAGCCTCAGGGTCATTACCATTCTAGAGAAGGGTAGGGGTATCTTCTCCAGGCTACAATTAGAAGGGCAATTAGTCTCTATTCTATAATTGATGTGACAGTCACGGATTCTTGCTTTCCCCCCAGACTGTAAGATGGGAAGAAAAATTATGACTTATTCATAGGCCCCTGTAAATTTTTAGACGAGGAGCAACAGGTTAAGGGTAGTTCTGCTTTGTTAGGTGTTTATGCAACAGGGAGCTTTTAACTGGGTTGTCATTATTGTGATGTGTGTTAACAAGGTGTAATGTAGACACTTCATCACCAGGTCTGACATGTCAGTAAATTCTTTCCTAACACATTACTGACTTGCATCTCTTACTTGGTATTGTCCTTCATAGAGGAAGGTGCTGCTAATGCTGCTTGATTGAAATGGAAATTTGGGCTGTGTTTCCTGCCTGACAGATAGTGGGGAGCAAATCTATACTCATCCAGGCCCAAGGGAAGGAATCTGTCAGCCACAGAGACTGTGACAGTGAAACAGACTGAGGCTACTTAACCCAGAGAGGGAAACAAGGACACGACTAAGTCCTCACTAGCAAAGGGAACAAGAGAAAATAAAATGATAATCAACTAGATTCTTAAAAAAAGACATAACTGATATGGTTTGGTGCTACTTAAAGGTTCAGAAAAAAATGAGTAAAATTCTAGATACTTATTATTATTTATTAATCAAATATATTTTGGGACAGGTGTCTATTATATGCATAGTACTATGTTAAATACTACATAGAAAAGTATTTATTTTTAACAATCTAGACATGTAAATATGGGTTTATTTACACGTATTGGCTAAATAGAATTGCAAAAATTCTGGCTGCTTAAAGTGTTCTTGGCATATACTAGATGAGAACATCACCATCCTGCCAGTGGTTGGAGCGGAAGCACTCGAGGCACTCACCCTGAACGGTTGGTCTGGGATGAATGGGAAGTAAGGGATCGCTGACTGTTCTTCACCCCTTTCCCCAGATATACAAGAATTTCTGAGTAGCTGCCGATCTGTGAACACAGCTTTGAGTTCAATTGCCACATCGGCGGGAGGATCCTCCGAATCACCACAGGTCAAGCTGATGGCAAAGCTGAAAAGAAAATCATCTCATTTATTCACGGTTGAGCAAAACAACATTAACAATGACCCAGGCTCCCATTTCCTTCTTCTTCTTTGGATTTGTCAGCTTTTAATGGGCCACTACTCTTCATATGGGGGCAGGCGTTGGGGGGTTTAGACTATGGAGAAATAGGATTACAATCAAACTGGTTTGTTACCCAGAGGAGGCCCTGGTGAAAACTTCAGTGGAGATGAAAATAACTAACTGTAGACATTTCATATACCCCAAACTACCCACACATCTGTGTCTTAATCCATTTCAGAAGACTCAAAAACAGCCCCATTAATTGACCAGGGGAAACAATATCTCGTAAAGTTTGGTTCTCATTTATATTGATAGTTCTTACTCCAAACACCATGTTTGGAAAAAAAAAAAAATCCTTTAGCCTCCCTAAGGGTCAAAGAGAAAATGATGTGGGTCTATATTTATAATCTCTGATATAAATAGCTGTCTAGAGAAACGATGGCTGGGATTCATACACATTCTTTTCATGGGAACATAGTACTTTCTTGGCACTTCAAACTAGCAACACTGGCCACAGGGGTGGGAAGAGGAGGGGCAGTAAACCACAACAGGAGTGGGCAGGACCTTGTAACTGCCTGATAGGTCTAGGTGACAAGGACTCTGCCTTACCTCTCAGGGTTGAGGTCTACGATGCCCATCACTAATACCTTCTTGCCTGGTCTCATGCCACCTTTAATGTGCCCACAAAATGGCACGATCTGCAAAGGATGAGAGGAGAAACAGAAAGTTTACAGCCTGTTAGGGAAGAGCCAAGGCCTCAGATCCTTAGGACCTGACCTAAGGAAAGAAGAAAGAAGAGGGTACAGGCACACACAGAGCACAGAACAAAATCATTTACCAGTCGTGGGAAGTACACGTCGGCTTGAACTGGAGAGCCCAAGGAGTTGTTTAAATGCCCATCATCTAGTTTCTAAAAATAGAAGCACACAGATTGGCTTTCCAAAAGCTTTTGGAGGGGGGTGTTAGAGGGAGCGGGGAAGAACCTACACAAATCTGGAGGAATCCAGCAGTCCTCCATAGAACACAGGAAGCCTCTGCAAAAGCTCCCACCTCACAGCCCACTGAATAACCGCATAAACTCCCGGAACAAAACCCGTCCTTTCCACCAGGTAGCTAAGCCTCTGATGATCCTCAGACCCTTCAGATCTAGATCAAAATGAAGGTCGAGGCCCACTGGGGAGCCAGAGCCCCGCGCCGAAGGAGGGAAGGCCCCTCTCCAACCGCAAACGCCCATGGAACCGCCGTCGCCCAGGCCTGTCCTCGGGGACATGGCTGGAGTGCAGCGGCCGCGCTCAACTTCTCTCGCGAGCCCCTGGCGCGGACCCATTTCCAAGGGGGAAATCCCCGGAACGGCGCGGGGCGGGCGCGGGGCGCGCGCGCCGGACACACACACAGGCGCACACTCACACGTGCAACATGCACACACCTGGCCGGAGGCTGCACAGCGCGGAGGGGACTGTCGGTCACCCCCACCCCGCGGGCCGCCCCCAACACCTCCCCTCGGCCAGCGGCCCTCCAGCTGGGGCACCCCTCCGGCCCCTCACGTCCGCCGCGCACAGCCGGCTCCCGCTACCAGGTACTGGGGCGCCTTCTCACGCGTGGGGCGCGGGGTTGGGCCTCTGCCGAGCCGGAGCCGGCGAAGGGGCCGTGCGGGCTGCGGGAAGGGGGCGCCTCGCGTGCGCCCGCCGCACTCACCACCACTGCATCGCTGTCGGCCACCGACCCCGCCATCTTCTCGCGCGGCGCGGCGGGGTGCGCGGCTGGCGGCCGGGCGGTGGGGGACGTGGGACACGGCGCGCGGGCTGGGCTTCAGAGGCGGTCCTGCGCCGGGCGGGGGCGCGGGTCCGAGACTGGCTCGTGCGCGCACACACACACGGGCGCGCGGGCGTGCACTCCCGGGGGCCCGGCGCCGACCCGGCTGGCGGGGCCGGGGGGAGGGGGAGGAGAAGGCGGAGGCCGGGAAGGCGGCGCGGGCCCAGAGGTCGGAGGTGGCCGCCGCAGCCCGGACCGCGCTGCCGAGTCGAGGCTGCTTTCTTCCTCGGGGTGCTGCTGCCCGAGGAAAAAGGAGTCGAGGGTGCGCCGTGCTGGCTCTGGGCTGCATTTAAAGGCCGCCGGAGCCCGGCTGCGGAACCGGGAACAGGGCGGGGAGCCGGCTGGGCTGCAGCGGCTTGCTCAGCTTGCCCTGCCCTTCGGCCATTGGACGGTGGCAGGAGGCTGGGGCGGGAGGGACTGGCCTACCAGGGTCGGGGCGTGCGGGAGGGCGGGCGCCCGGTCGGCACTATTCGGCGGCTGGGTGGGTGGTGCTGGGGCCTGCCAGGTGACAGGTGCTGGTGACATCACCGCTCCTCCCCTCTAGCCACCTCCCCGCCTTCCTTCTCAGGTTGTGTCTTGGGGCAGGTGGAACAGTGGAGGGCGAGGTCCAGGGAGGATTGGAGGTGGAGGTGGTATTCCAGAGCTCGAGATTTCTTTCAGAGAATGCCAACAAAGAGCGAGGAAAGATTCATTCGGCTTTCTAGGGTAGAAAGATAATGAAAGGCCTCTAGGCTTGCATAAATAAATATTTGACCTAAAAGCAGGAGGCAGAGAGGACTCACAGTAGGGACTTTTATATTTATACAGGAGATGTACAGAGCACACCTCCCTCCCCTGTGGAAAGATGGGCAAGTCTGGGGGTCCCTGGAGGCTCTCTCAGGCAGGGGTCTGGTTAAGTCTTACCAAATTGAACTGGGCACAGTGACTGCTCTCAGAAAGTTTTCATTGGGCCGTTTTTGACAAGTCACCTGTCCAGTCTAGGCTAGTGAATTTCACACTGAAAATCTCCTGATATCCTTTGTGGAGTAATTCCTAGGGGGTCCACCTCTCTTTATTCCAAGGCACAAATTCCTTTATGGCGTTTCTACAGTAGGACGATTATGTAACTTCTCAGGTAAAGCTGTATCAACATAGCCTCTATTAGGTGACATCTTGGCTTAAACATTCCATTGTGTGAATCACCCTGGTGTTTTATACTAATAAGCAGGGAGCATGTGTGACCTGCTGCAATCCCAGAGGGGCCCTCAGAGGCTCCCTTCCTGCCACTGTTGCTGGCTGTGTGGCCTGGAACATCACTGAGGCTTTTGTGTCTTAGCTTTCCCTTTATGGACCAGAGCTAATCATGGTAATCTCAGTTGAGTAGGGAGAATTACCTGCACACGCTTGTAAACCAAAGTCATATCCTTTGTGTGCTCTGAACTTGAGGCTGAAGTGCAGCACAACTGTGGCTCACACTTTTGCTCTTGTTCACCAGTCTTAGCTCAAAATCATACCTTATTGATTATTTTAAAATGTTAGGCAGTCATAGGAAACAACTGACATTTTGAAAGCACACTTTGATATATCTCAATTTCTGAGAGTTTGGTATAGAGGACACTCATTGAAGTCTTTTTTTGTCATTAGCTAAGCTAAGAGTGACAGAATACATCATGGTGGTTAAAGAACGTGTGCCCTAGGTTCAAATCCTGGCTCTACAATTGACTAGCTAGGTGATCTTGGACGTGTTACTAAACTTCTCTGTGCCTCAGTTTCTTCATCTGTGAACCAGAGATGACAGCAATGATGACAATAGTGCCTATCTTGTGTTATTGGGAAGATTAGGTAAATTGGTTCCTGTACCTTCCTTAGAATAGTAGCTGGCACTTAGTAAGCGCTACTCTTCATATCTACAAACATCTTGAGGGCTTGCCATGTACCAGGCACTGGGGAATCTAGGGGGGACATTTTTGTGTGCTTCTACTTTATTATTATTTTAAAATTGTTTTTTAAATTGAAATATAGTTGATGTACAATGTTGTATTAGAGTCAGGTGTACAGCAAAGTGAGTCAGCTGTTCTTTTTCAGATTCTTTTCCATTTTAGGTTATTACAAGTTATTGAATATAGTTCCCTGTGCTATACAGTAGGACCTTGTTGTTTATCTATTTTAGATATAGTAGTGTGTATCTGTTACTCCCAAACTCCTAATTTATTTCTCCCTACCCCTTTCCCCTTTGGTATCCATAAATTTGTTTTCTATGTCTGTGGGTCTGTTTCTGTTTTATAAATAAATTCATTTGTATCTTTTTCTTAGATTCCACATATAAGTGATACCATATGATATTTGTCTTCCTCTGTCTGACTTACTTCACTTAGTATGATAATCTCTGGGTCCATCCATGTTACTGCAAATGGCATTATTTCATTCTTTTTTATGGCTGAGTAATATTCCATTGTATATACATAACACATCTTCTTGATTCATTTATCTGTTGATGGACATTTAGGTTGCTTCCATGTCTTGGCTATTGTAAATAGTGCTGCTATGGACATTGGGGTGCATCTTTTCAAATTAGAGTTTTTATCTTTTCCAGATATATGCCCAGGAGTGGGATTGCTGGATCATATCGTAACTCTATTTTTAGTTCTTTAAGGAACCTCAGTGGGGATTTTTTTGTTGATCTTACATTCTAATGGCAAAAGGCAGTTAATAAACAAATAAATATATAATATGTCAGGTGGTAAAAGTATTAGAAAAAAATAGTAAAGCAAGTAAGGTGAAAGAGAGAGGTAGGAGGTGGGGCGATGCTGTTTACAGTGTTATCAGGGAAGCCACCTATGGTAGAGTGAGTTTGAGGACCCCTAAAGGGAGGGAGGGAGTGGGGGAGGCATTTGGAAGTCTGGAAGAAGAGGTTGCTGGCAGAGGGAACTGCAAGGGCAAAGTCCCCAGGGTGGAGTAAGGGAAGAAAGTGTTGGGTGCAGCTGGGGTGCAGAGGCGGAAGAGGTAAGTAATTAGAAATGGAATAGGCCATGTAGACACTGAGAAGATTGGCTTTTCCTTGGGAGAGGTGGGAAGATATTGGAAGTTTCTGAGCAAAGGAGTGACATAACTTGCCTTCTGTTGTGGATGTATCCCTCTGGCTGCTGTGTGAAGTGGTCTCTGTGAGGAGGGCAGTGTGTAGGAGGCAGGTAGAAGCAGGACTTACGAAGCTCCTGCAGCAATCCAAGCAAGATATAATGGTGGCTTAGACAACGGTGGGAATGATGAAGGTAAGAGAAGCTGTGCGCCCTTGAAAAGTCCTAGCCGTTGTCATTACATAGCTCTGAGAGTTCAAATTGACTTCTAAGCCTCAGTTTCCTCACCGCAAAATTAAGAGGTTGGGCTCATTCATCATTCCTTCTTAGCTCTTAGAAAGTTCTTCTGGGGCTTCCCTGGTGGCGCAGTGGTTGAGAGTCTGCCTGCCGATGCAGGGGACACGGGTTCGTGCCCCGGTCCGGGAAGATCCCACATGCCGCGGAGCGACTGGGCCCGTGAGCCATGGCCACTGAGCCTGCGCGTTCGGAGCCTGTGCTCCGCAACGGGAGAGGCCACAACAGTGAGAAGCCCGCGTACCGCAAAAAAGCTGTGTAAAGGCCATCTAAATTTAAATGGTAGGTGCTGCTGAATGAAAATAATCTTGGGTTGAATCTTTCAATAAGTGGTTTTGTAGGGTGAAGAATAACCCTTTGATTTACATTGTCAGTGGAGTTGAAGATACTCGGATTGCTTGAGATGTTCTTTACATTCCTAAAATTCTTACATTTTAGGAGTGTAAAGAACAGGAAGGTACTGAACCTGCCCAGAACATTTTAAACTGGAAAATTGCCTTTTATTCCAAAAATGCTTTGTTCCTTCTCAGTCATTCTATAGAACAGTTCATTTTCAATATGGAGAGCAGGGAGAAAGCCTAAGTGAATTTTTTGTTATAATTAAAGCTGAGCAGAGTCAAACTACCCCTGACAGGGAAATTCATTAGCAAATAAATGAATTATAGAGCTTGAATTTTTAAAAAGTTGTAGAGAGAAGGACAGGCAAACTTTGCTCTGGGCTTTGATTATGGGCATTTTTGTCTAAAAAGCTTTAACCAAGATTGTGACCCTTTTATGAAATGCAACAGTGAACTGTATTACTGCTAGAAACTACTAAAAAGGCTAAAGAAAGTCAGCATCGAAAAAGAAATATACACAGGTCTTTGAAGATAGACTTTGCTAAATGATCTTCCCAGATGAAAATAGTAGATCACGTCCTTCTCTCCTTCCCATTTAATATGTTTTATTCAAATGTAGGCATGCAGAATTTCTAATACTGTGGGGAGAATATGGCATTGACGTCAATTCAGCAGCCATGTTATGAGCATTGCTAGGTGCTGTGATACCCTGGACCAAGAAGAGATATATGAAAATGCATGGGTCTTGTCCTGAAGAAGCTCACAACTCACTCTGGGGTCCAATGTAGAATGCAGTGGGTAAGATAATAAAGGCCTCAGATCTACAACCTGAGCACTGAGTGGGGAGAGTCACTCCCATTGGGAGGATTAAGGCAGCCGTCTGGAGGAGCTGGCACATCTCTGACCACAAGCACAGCAGCCCCTTCCACCATCCCACCAAAGCAAGTCTGCAAAGACTGCACAGCAGCTCTATTTGTGGCCCGATTTCTAAACGCACTCCGCCTGGTCTGGTCACCAGCTGAACCCCTGTTTCCAGAGGCTGGTTTTGTCTCCTGCCCTGGTCCGGGTAGATATGTGCCTTCTTCCTTTACACTGTGACTGTGGGCCCCGATCCCCGAGACCTGCCTTTGACTTTCAGACCACTTGTTTTCTGCGTATATATACACATTGGCAGCAGCAGGGTTTCTCGTCCTCAGCGCTATTGATATTTTAGGCTGAGAAATTCTTTGTGGTAGGGAGCTGTCCTGTGCATTGTAGGATGTTGAGCACTAGATGCCGGTAGCTGCCCCCCGGAAGTGGTGACAGCCAAAAATTCCTCAGACATTGACAAGTGTCAAATGTCCCTGAGTGGGGTGGGGAAAACTTGCCCCCAGTGGAGAGCCAGTTATCTAAAAGGTGCTTTAAGATTCCTGTTACTCATATATATGATGTGAAATCCATCTGATCTAATCTGGAGTAGAAACTTGCACATCAGAAACATTTGCCTTTTTATTTGGCAAGTCATTGCTTCCTGATATTACGGGAGCACTTTACAAATGGTTCCACAGAGAACCCCCTAAAATGAAGGAGGACCTGTGAGGACCCCTGCGGATGTAGCTGGCAGCTCAAAATGTCTGTAATATTGAGAAATGTGTGCGACTTTTGCACTCTGTTCAACAGTATCGCCATGTTTATTTTTGATATAAACATAATGTGCTCCCCACACCCATAAATACAGCAAAATTAAAGCATCTAAATGTTTACC